TTTTAAAATTACATTTCCAATTTTGTGTGATCAAACAAACAGATAATCAAACACTAACTTCAATGTAAATTTGTCAATGGAACTAGAGTTGCTCACTGGCAGAATGAAGATGAATCCTTTAAATGTGGCTTAAAGCTGCTGTCTTTTTGGGGAGGGTGAGGATGCAGCCATTCACAGGGTGAGGACACTGCTACAGAATTCATTATAAGCTACATCAAGCAGAACAACTTATTGCAGGGATTGCCTTTTTACATAAGTTTGTGAAAGTTCGACATGGCAGGCTCACATAGCTCATCTCTACACATTATTGCAACATAAAGCAGCCTTGTCCTTATCATACTGAAGCAGCTATTTCCTTTTCTACGTGAGGAAATGTACATATACAAGCAAAAAGAGTGACTGATTGTGAGATTTGTTTCCAACTGTAAATGTCTGTGTAACTACATATGCAGATTAGGTATTGCCCTTGAAGACTTGGAGAGCAGCCAATGTGCTGCTTACGTGATGTAAACAGAGTTATGCATAAGCAGCATCTGTTTTTACAGGGTCTGTGCTACTCTGGCTTCCAAGTTGTTCAAATCAGGATTTTCTTTTGCAGTTTCTTATCTGAGTTATCCTGCAGTTTCCTGAGTACCCCCTTAATAACCCTTTCCTCTGCAGCTCTAAAGGGATCCTTCCCCTATAGTCTTGTAGGAATTTTGCCCACGCACACCCATGACCATGCCAGTAATCGATGTTGCATCTCTACATTTCCAAGGTGCCATTGAATCCCTCACTGTTTAGTCAGTCTCTGAATTGTGTTTGATGTGAGCTGCAAGATTTCCTCCTGCCACAGGATAGGTGTTTGTATGTGTGTGAATGTGTGTGCATGCATGTGTCTGTGTGTGTGTCTAAAATATCTGCTCCGTCACCTGCACATATAGGTATATCTATATAGGTATAAATGAAGCCAGTTACTGGTGTCACCAAGTTTGGGCCTGAAGTGGTCTACCCATAAGTCTTCATTTTAATCAAGCTTTAAGAAAACAAGAAGAACAAAACTTTGGCATTTGTGTTAGATATGTGTGTAAAGAGAAACAAAGGATCCTCTTCTCCTCATAGGTAGGCTCAAGTTGAATACATAAAACAGCTGTAGAAATAATATTTGCATGCATATAAGGAGTATTTATTTTGTGGATGCAGCAGATGTGAAAATATTTGGTCTAGTTCCGCAGAGAGCAATTTGGAAAACATATTGTATGGTAGGATCCTTGATATTTATTAAAGGAATAGTGTTCTTTAAAAATTATAAATGCAACATAATTGATCAGTAGTCATGGACTTGTTGCAGAAATAAAGCACGCTGAAAGAATAACTATTTTGAAATAAATGTTTTTTGTTATCTCAGCTAGTATTCTTTCTGTAGGTACTAGTCTTTGTAAAGGGTCATATTGGACAGTCTGAACCTTAATTCCTGTAATGCATCTCACATAGTTCTTTTGCTAATACCTATTCAATTAAAGAATTAGTCTATCCTAAAAGTAACTGTGGCCCCAGTGTTTAGTTTTAACAGGATGGTTCCATTTGTGGGTACTGTGTGGCTTCTGTGCAAGGAATTGGGGTTTTCTACATGAAAGCAGTGGATCCACTGTACAGCTGAGGCAGGGGAGAAGATGGCAGGAGTCACACTTAAGGTTAGTCCACACTACAAAAACTTGCCCAGAAAATTTATTACACAGGCTATGAGTGTGATTTTCAATGCCACTCTGCCAATGGCCTATTTAAACTGATACACCTGCATCTATATTAGGATTTCTATCATTACAACAATGCATTGCATCAGTACCTTTCATTTTTGGTTTCCATATTTAAATAAACTGTCAGCGTATATTAAGCTATGTACACATATTTCCATGTGGTTTCCTAGAGGAAAAAAAATTGTACAGTCATGCTATATGCCACAGTCCTTATAATAATTCCTGACCTTGTTAGCTGATTTTAATCAATCCCCCAAAAGCAGCAGAGATTTCAGACACAATTACTTTCCCACAGTTTTCATAAAGACGAGTAAGCCAAGTACAGGAAAGACTTCCTGTTTATTGCCTGCATGGAGGGACAGCCTGCAGTTCAGCCTTTATTACACTCAGCCTACACAGAAGAGGACCATTCTGAATGCTTTGAATGCAGGAAATGAGCCTTTTATAATCCACACCATATTAGATATTGGAGAATCTAACCATAAGACATGCGGCAAGAACAAATTGGAGTTTTTGAGTCCAGCTGCTCACAGCAGATATCATAGTGTATCCTGAATTAGTATCCACCCTATCAGTCTGGCAGCATTCAACACCAGGGGTGCTTCCTCTTTTCTCTAGGCTGGCATAGCTAGAACCACAGAACTTTCCAGGATAGACAAGCTTTTGCCTGCAATAAAATTTCTGAAGTCAAATTCACAGGTCATTTAGAAGTGCACGTGGTGAGCAGGGTTGGAGTTCAGCTGTGAGAACCAGCAAGCAGTTAATTTCACTTCAGCCATGAGAGATAACTGGGCTCCTTACCAACTGAGTGCATGCTTTGCCCTGTGGGACCATAGGGGGGTTTGAATTGGGTGGGTTTTGTGTGTTTATTTCTTACAGGGAAACTCACTGAAAGTTACCTGTTTCAGGCACTGATGGATAGCTAACAGATATCATTGACTGGTATAAGTTCCCGACTCAACTCTTGAGTCTTGCCCAGTGCAAATAAAATATCTGCATATCCATAAGCAACAAGAAGAAAACTGCATTGAGGTTGCAAACCAAGACTCAGAACAAGGAAATGCCTGAAGAAACTTTACTTAATTTAGAGGGTTTTATTATTCACATTTTCCCAGTTAGACTTTTGAGAAATAGATCGACTGTATCAAAACTAGGATTCATCTCTCCACTGGAGAGTTTTCTCAGGTGTAAAGTATTCATAAAGTCTATTACATTCAGCTGCAGCTTAACACTAATGAAAGCGAGAAGACAGATTTTTATTATGGCTTCACAGAAAATCAGAACATACAAATAACCAGTTCCAGAGAGTTTGGTTTTAAGGACAGATGAAAGATGTTCGGACACTACCACACTCAGCATCAGGGTGCCTGACTTTTGGACCCTTGGCTCTAACACCTAGACACTGAGTGAGATACCTTGGAATAACACTCCAAGAATCAGTACATGTAGTACACAAAGCTGCTTCAAGTAGCTAGTTGGGGATGCTTAGGACATAGCTGTGCTACAAAACCAGTCACTCCATAATTAAGAACCTCATTCAGGGATTGTAAGTCTTCTCCCTCTGCCTGGAGGTATTCCTTTCTTTAAAATGCAGCCAGAGGGTCAGACTTTTAAAACATGGCTGAAAAAACTCCCTTTACCATTCTCTTTCCATTGATAATGGTTCAGCAGTTAGACTACTGCCTGAGAATGTCAGTGAACTGGATTCAACTCCTTCATGACCAAATGGGAAGAGGGAGGTTAATCTTGTCCTCCGGAACAGTACACTCACCCACCCCACCAGCAGGAACCTGTCAGGGCCCTGATGGCACTGCTAGGTCTTAATGGCTCTGAGCAGCCTCACCTGGGACCCCTACCTACACACTGCCCATGGACCAGGGCTCCATTTAAAGCTCAGGTCTGGGTGTTTAACCCCTGCCTGAACTATCTAGTAGATGGATCTGCCTTCTGTTTGATCTCCTGCTTTGCTTCCTAGATAGATCAATATTGTGGCTCTGTCTCCAGTTGTGGCCCTATCTCCTGCTCCTCCTGATTGGATTGCTTGTACAAACTTTACACTGATTCGTTGCTTCATCCTGTCTAGGACTGTTAATGGAGCTGCATTGTGCTGCTCTGTTCAGGTATCGTGGCAAAGTGCTCTGGCTAGTGAGAATGCTGCCTGTGCTGCAGCCATCCTCAGTTCCAGGCTTTTCCTCCCTCGAGCTGCTCCTTGAGAGCAACAGTGCTAAGGATAATAACAACAATAATGATATGTGTAATGAAAAGGAGAGAAAGGGATAAAACCCCAGAAAAATAAGTAATGCACAATACTCTTGCTTACCAGCCACTGACTGATGCCTAGACAGTAGTTGCCGACTGGGGTTAAACTGTGACAAGTGTTTCCTTCAAGTATTTCTTACGTTGAGGGTAAATAGGGATGCCATGTGGCTGGTATGGACCGGGGCTGTAACAGCGCTTTGCTTTATCCAGCTCATCCCCTGCCAGCCCCCTGCCCCGGGAGCCCCCCAGCCCCGGTATAACCGGACAGCCAGCAGAGCTGACAGTGCTGTCCCAGCGATGTCATTCCAGGCATCATCCCCTTCCGATGCTTTGGGTGTTTAATAGACTCAGTTCTACCTATTTTCTAGTCACAGAAGCTGCTTTTCACTTCACAGTCAGAGCCTGACAGCAAATGTTTGCGTTGTCCCATACAGTGACTCTTGTGTGTCAGGGTACTCGGTGCTTGGGTGGCTGCCACCAACATTTATCTTTCTACACGCAGGCCGTGGAGTTGGTTTTTGTTGCCCGCTTTCTGCTTGGAAGAAGCCGACAGTCACAGGTGCCCATCACCGCGCGACAGTTCCCTCTCCACCTCTACCCCACGTTTGCCCCGGGAAGGGATGACGAGCGGTCAACCCTGACACCGGCAGCCCTCAGGGGACGGGCGCTGCTCTGCGCCCCTTCCACCGGGCCGCCGCTCCCCTGGCCCCGACTCCCTCCTCGGAGCCGGCCGCCTTTCCTCAGGCGCGGAGCGGCGCCGGTGGCTCGCCCGCTCGGCTCGCCCCGAAGGGCGGCCGACGCCGGTGCGGCGAGGGGTCGCGCCTTCCCACCGCCCCGGGAGGAAGTGACATGTTGGCGGCGGCGGCGGGGAGGGGAAGGGAGGCGAGGGGCGCCCTGTTGCCGGAGTGGAGCCGCCCGCCGGGTGGAGCCTGGCAGCCCCGCCCGAGCCGCCCGCCCGCTCCCGCCGCGTGCGAAGTAGTGGCAGCCGGTGCGGCTCGGCCGCCGCCCGCTCCCGGCGCCCCAGCGCGGCACCCGTGCCCAGGCCCGCCGGCGCCAGGTACGTGCTCTTCCCCTGGCGACCTGCGCGCTCCTCAGGTGCTGGGCCGCCCTCCCTCCTCCGCCTGCCGTGCTACCCCGGAGGAAAAGGCATCCGGACGCAGCCCCTCCCCGGCGCAGCCGCCCCGCGGCGCGCTGTAGCGGCGAGGCGAGGGGCCGGCTGCTGCCGGCGGGGCGCGGGATGCGGGCACAAGTTCCCTGACTTATTCGCCGCCGGGCTCGGTCGCCGCCGCCGCCGCCCGGCCCCGCCGCGTCGTTTCTCCCGCGGGCACCGGCAATTTTCCTGCCGCCCGCTGGCCCCCTTTGTGTGGCGAGCGCTGCCCGCGGCCGCCGGGGTTTCCGTGGAAACGGCGGAGCTACGGCGGCCCAGCCCCGCCGAGCTCCCCTCCGCCGGCGGCGCCTTCCACTTTCCCTTCGGTGTTCCCCCAGTTCGGGTCTGGCGGTGGCTGGGGAGGGAGGGGGCGGGCGGTGCGGTTGCCGTGGGAACGGGCGGGTGCAATCGCCTGTTTCGTGCCGCCTCCCCGAAGGCGCCGCTCTGGAGCGAGCGGGCGCGGCGAGCCCCGGTGGGAGCGGGCGGGCTCGGTCACGGCGAGCCCCGGTGGCGTGTCCGGAGCGGGCGGGCTCGGTCACTGGTCGGTCGTGGCGGCTGTTCTGTCCGCGGTACCTGGAAGTCCATGAGCTGAGGCGGAGGGGAGGGGCAGTCTGCCTCCCTGGTGATGGGCTCACGTGTTGTCGGAGCTCTGATTTCACCTGTGTGCGTATCTTCATGAAGATGTTTAAGGTGAATTAAATAACAGCCCCGAACTTAAAATGTGTCGTCTAACGCCATGCGTTGAAGGATATTTAGCTAACAAGTTATGCTTTTTAGCATTTATTTCAACAAGTGAGCGCTTACTCGAATGGCTGAAAGGACAACCCCACAAGAGAGTCTGTTTCAGCACTGTCGCACCGACTTCTGGTCTTTATCTTTGTTATGCGTTCCTAAGAGTTTTAAGTGTGCCGACATCTAAGCATGATGTACGTTAGGCAGGTGCTTGTGCGGGAGAGAGCAACCTTGCTGTTACATGAAAACTGAAAATGCTTTACAAGAGGTAGACGGCTCCAGAAACTCTCAAACAAACCAACCCAAGCTTTCCTTTAAAAGCAGTGATGTATCCCACTCAGGAAGTTGTACCAGGCGATTGTAGCCTCAGCTTGTACTGATGATGACTTCACACTAAGAGTGAGTAGCAAAAGAATTGAAAACTGGTGGAGTAGAGAAACCGTTGTGGAACAACTTAAGCCAAAATTTGTAGCCTTTTTTTTTTCTCCAGCTTCTCATGTTCACGATAATATTGCTGTGGACATACAGAGGTCTGTTTATATATACTTTTGTACTTCTGTATAAAGACTGACTGCATGGATCACTAGAATAGTTGATGTGTTCTAAATGTTTGCTGTCATTTACTGACCAGCAGCTTTCTGTAGCTGCTTTTATCTGATATAATGCCATGGTTTTCCAAATACTGTGGATTAAAACACATTTATTCACTTTAGAAATTTGTGTAAATGTTTTGTATAGCTTTGCTCTTTCCTATGAATATTTTGCATTAAGAGTGCCTGAATAAGCTGTATCGAAAAGTGAAACTAACTGTGTTTTGTGGATGACAGGACCAAATTTCATGGGGAAGAATCTATTGGAAAGCCTGCAGTGAACAGAGAAACTGTTGCAAGCTGCTGATGGATAAAGGTTGCTCTTAAGCAGAGTTCAGTTGTGTTGTTGGCAAGCACTTTTAACAGATTTTAGTGAATGCTTCACAAAAAGCTGTAAGTAATATATTTTAGGAGTGGAAAAACTGCAGAGAGGTGAGCACTTGCCCAGAGTCACAGACCAAAGAATGCTATGCCCAGAGGACAATAATGAACTGTGTTTCTTGAAACATAGTAGGTGTCAGTTTTGTGGGTAGGTTTTTTTTTTAGTAAGTTGTTTTCTGTCCAGCCAAATTGCAGAGGCACTGAAGCAGTGTTCATCTCTGGAGTGAGGCATGCTCTGCTGGAGTGACAGTTTTACATCACTTACAGTTTGAAGTACTTACTGTACCATAACAGAGGAGAGCTCTGTAGGAGAAGAATTCTCTCCAGGTGATGGATGAGAATCCTATGGCTCTATGCTGCCCTGCTGAAAAGGATTGGCTAATTTTTTCTGTTGTGTACCCTGTTTTTAATGCTAGAAGATGAAGACTGGGAGTAATGCCTCTTGAAATCTCTTCATACAGGAAGACACTGTCACAGCTGTGCTGAGGGTAGCAAGATACTGTTCTTGTGTTACAAATGAACATTGTGGTCCTCAAAACTTGTATTAGTAATTTGGTCTTAAAATTTAAACATTCAAATTTCCACTGCGTGACATAGAACAACACTTCCCTAAGTAACAGCATCCCTGCTACTGCTGTTGGTATGTCCTGATAAGGGAGCAGATCAGCAAGAGGGCAACAATGCATAGTAGTGCACTGTGCATATGCTTTGCTCAGTGAAAGCTTTTGCAACTGTGGGCCTCGCTCACAAGGGAAAATATTTTATGTCAAGGCAGTCGTCTCTCAAATGTGTTTTTGCTGTGCTGAATGCAGTGGGCTTTCTTGTAAAGGAATTAGAAATGAGGCTGACAGTGGTACCCTGTGTGCTTTGTTGCCTTTCAGCACTGGTATGTGGCAGCTGAGTATGTGTTTTTTCCCTGAAGTGCTTTGTCTGTGGGGTGGTTTTGTCCAGTGATTCAGTTTCAGGCGTTTGGGAAAGTTTGCTCACCAGTCTGTTGTTTGGTGGTCTTGGGCTTATTCACATCTGACTGTGTGGTCAGTACCCTGATCACCTGTGACTAATGCTCCTGTGCTGCTCGGAAACTGCTGACTCACTTTGTTTTCATGCTTTTCCCCTGTCCTCCTCCACTGCTTCCAACTAGAGATGAGGTAGGGTCCAAGGTAAGGTCAGGGAAAGAGGAAATGGAAATTAATGAGAGTAACTGTTGTGGCAAGGATGAAGATACTGCAAAGATCCCTCTGATAATGTGAGAAAAAGATGATGGCTGTAATAGATTTGCTGAAAAGGTACAATAAGTCATGTGTTAGGAACTGGCTTAACAACTGTAGTGAACCCACAGTTGGGGGATGCTGGGTTGTGGTCCTGCTAGGGGTCTGCTCTTCAACTTGAACTTAAAGCCTTTTTATTTCTATGCCTTTGTTTTGACCTTCCGCCCTTCTGTCTGTCTGGTTCCATTCTGCTAAGAAGAGCTTTACGCTGAAATAATTTTCTGCTGCTTGCAAAAGGGCTGACCTGGCTTGAGGTTTCTACTGTAGCATAAATAACAGGAACAGGGAAAGGCAATTAACCAGCTCTAGGCTGGAAAAAAGTCAGAGATAGAGGTCACTGAGAGAAGGTTTACTTGGCAGAAGCTGCAGGCAAAGACAAGCACACTGATTTCACTTGCATGTGGGACTGTTTATTAACATGTTAAAAATTTCTGACTTGTACCAGATTTCTTTTTAGTCAGACCAACAAAGTTAAATTTCACTCATGTTTTTCCAGTAGCATCCATGTGAATGAAAAGGTTTTCCTATGCTGATACAGTTGCAGACTATGCAAGGTTTTTTACCTATCAGAGAAAGGGTAAGACTCAACTTAAAAACCTGCTGTTAAAGACAGGGAAAGAACATATTTGGAGCAATTCTATATGTAGAAATGGCACATGATTTCAAGTGACAGCTACTGTGTGAAAGTTAAACTGTGTCCTGCTTATTCCCCTGTCTCCACATTATCTGTATCCTCACACGTCATAGTTTGTCTCTTAACATTCTTTTCAGCACTTTGGAAAATACCATTACTGCAGATGCTGCTTTGCACTTCTGGAAGGTCTAGAAGGATTTTGTCTGCAGCAGGCTACACCTACACTTGAACCATTTATGAGGTTTTACTCCTTTAAGTCACAGGTGGTTGTCAGGGGTTAATATTGTAATTCTGTGTGTCACTGTAAGTTTTTTACATGCCTTTGCCTCTGACCGTGTGCATAAATACTGCATTTCACCCAAGATGGAGACAGAGAAAAGCTTCATTTTGAATTTTAAGCCTTGTAAAACTGTCTCAAATATATTTTGAAGTTAGAAGGAGAAATTCTCAAAACCAGGCTTTTAAAAAGACTTGGGCTCCTGCAGTTGTTCAGAGGTGGTGTAGAAAATCCAAGTAGGCGTTGATGTACTTAATGCTTAATTTAGTGCAAAATTTATAAAAATATTACTGGATTCTTAGCGGTGTATTTAGTAACTGTTAGCATCTACACACTTGCTATCCAGTAAAGTAAATGCTGCTGAATCAAACACTATCTCAGAATGATTTTGCTGATGTTTAAGGTGTTTTTGACTAGCCCTGGCTTTAGGTGCTGAGAATACAAGATCATTGATTGGTTTGGAGTCATAATGTTTGGTAAACAACAAGACTATTGAAGCTTGTTGAGAGATTTCTTTTGGCTTCAACAGGATTTGAATCAGGTCCAAAAAGAAACCTGCCTTTATTACTGGACTTGATAAATCTGGTGTTTGTGATAAAGGCTTTTTTCTCTGGAGTTCTTAAATTAAATCAGGCTGTTAGGGGACTGATGATTAGGGAGAATGAGGAGGTTGAAAGTATTCTGAGTTCATGGTGTGGTACAATAGTTCTGAACACTCGTATCACATGAGGCAGAGGTGAGTGAAAACTGATGTAGAATGGAACTGCTGAAATATGGGTAAAACTGTCACCATGTTTATTTGGGTTTTTACGTGGCATCTGGGTGTCTGGTTGTTTTGCGTGTAGGTACAGCTGAGCTTTTCACTGAAGCTGGCATCTTATTTTTTGGAACCATGCCAACCACATCTCAGCTGTAAGATGTTTTTCTAGGTATGTGGTGTTACCTCTTAAAGGCAAAAATTGGTTTTCTTCAAATAATAAATCTGAGAGCTTCCCTGCCACTTTCATTCTTCAGCTAAACTATTTTCT